TCTGTAAAATCCCCAAACTCAGTGTATACATAAATGGGATAAAGAAACAAAATGGGTCAAAGGAATCTTCAATTATTAAGAGGGCAATTCTGTAGAATGGATTGAGGATCCTTTTGGTACCAATTTTGTGGAAGATGATCTTGAGATTCACTGAAAGCAATGTGATTCTGAGGGGTTTTGAGCAAGAATGAGAGTAATTGATAAGGTACTGTCTGGCTCCAAAATGATAGCTGGAACATAGGTTATTTTTTGGATATCACAATTACTATTATAATGCAGTATTTAAGTGATTAAAAATGTTACTTGTATTATATGAATATTTTTTAAAATTGGTGTAATTTCCACAATAATAATCCTTTAAAAGGTAATCCCAATCCGTAAGACACTTCACAAATATCATGAACTTTTCAAACTGGGATGTGCAAAAACATTTTTGCACTGCATCCCATGAAACAAATATTGAAGNTTTCCGCTGTGCATGATTAAGGAAATTCCCAACAGGCTTTGGGAGATTTGAGTGAGTTATAGATAGCAAAGTTATAGCTTGAAAATCTAAACTTGCATTACACTTGGAATAACACAATGTGTGAGTTTTTAACTTTTTATAGTAGAAGAGAACGAAAAGAACCTTTGGATGAAAAAACATGTGGCCTCATTCGGACGGTTAATGCCTCTTCTCATATGCATCAATCAATCATGTGCATTTAATGCTAACACTATTTTGCTCCCCTAACCCTGTCATTTAGGCTTAGACTAGACCTATTTTGGTTGGATGAGACGACTGTGACAGTGAATTGTCACATCAACCATTTACCAAAGATTATGGAAGATCTTCCACTAAGCCTATAACAGCTTCGCTCCTCCAATGGGGGCTCAGTTCCGGTTCCAACAATTGGGTTTGACCTCTAGTGTATGGGTTCAAACATTCTTAGGAGTTCGGCCGGACTTACCTTATGGGCAGAATGACGTGGAGTGCGGACCTAAGTTCGGCTGCCACGTGGAGGCGTAACAGAGATTATGATCAGAAACCTATCGATATTCGTTTGACTCGGGCTCAAATATTGGACGACATTAATTTGCTTTTAGAGTTGAAAAGGAAGAAAATTGATCATTTTCCAGGGAAGAACCCGACAATTTCTCAAAAAAGGTTCCTTAAATCCTGAAAATCTTGGAAGAATAGGCGGTAATAGCAAAGGCAATGGGAAACCTGTATTTGGTAGGGGGGAAGTCAGGGATTTTTGCTAGCAAATCATACGAATACGGCTAAGAACAAGAAAAGATCAGTGCAAGAGATGGAGCTAAAGGAATTTGGAAACAAGGAGTGATATCACGTCGGGGAATAAGGGTCTCTTCTCTTTATTATTTTCAAGCCGTTTTCTATTTTCGATTTTCGATTTTCCAAAACAATGAAAAAGCATTTTATTTTCTATTTTCGAAAACGCGTTTTTGAAAACAAGTTAAAAATTTACAAAGAAAACCCAAAATGACAAATTTGTCGTTTTTGGTGTTTTCGATTATAATCAAATCAAAATTTTCAGAATGCGTTTGGAGTGTTTTCAAAATGATTTTTCAAAATGTCAAAAAGAACACATTTTCAACAATCTCAAAATGAACACTAAAAACACAGTTTAAAATGAATTCAAAACTCAAAACACAAAATTAAAACACAAAAAGAACAACCCCTAAGTTTTTCTCTTTTGGAGTGCCAACTAGCATGCCGTGCCCCTAGTCGACAAACAAGAGTTTTCAACCTCAAAGAAGCATTGGGAGGAAACAGGTCCTCCAGTCACAACAATTTCAAGACAGAAAATTTGACCCAAATGCGGAAAGGTGTTAACATTTCCAACTCCCTCACCGACGACATCACAACATATGCACTACGTGTAGATGTTATCAGACGAATTTCGGGGATTACAGGGACAACCCCGAATAGGCGAATACTTTGTCAACAGTTAACTAGTGCAGATTTTGGGGATTTCAAGCGATACATGTGTTTGGAAAATTAGACATCCAAATTGCTTATGTTATTCACATCACCTGATATGGACAATAAGAAAAAGGTATCGTTGTCACAATGAACAAAGCTTAACAAACTCTCGAAATGCTCATTATGGCTAATACTGAGACAATTACGACACAACCAACTTCAAATTAGACACAATGGAGGTGAATGTTAGTTGATCAATGCACATATCGTAATAAGATGGTCAATTCAATTTCACAAAACTATTTATTAACAAGCATTTCTCCTTCACCGCAAATGTAAACAAGCAGCATACTAGTTAAAATGCTCAAATCAGCAGTGTATTCATGCAGTCATGTTGCGTCTAGTTAATATTGGAAACATTCGTGGCGTGATTCACATTTTCTTGGGATATTCTATGGTGCGAGCATGGATATGTTTGATCACCAACTTGGAGTTGCCATTAACGGTAACTTTGACGGAGATGTGCATAACGCCGGAACTGAAAGAAATTTACTTTGATCCGTGATGTATCATGTCAGTCAGGGTTATATGGTGATTACGATCTGTAAAATCCCCAAACTCAGTGTATGCATAAATGGTATAAAGAAACAAAATGGGTTAAAGGAATCTTCAATTATTAAGAGGGCAATTCTGTAGAATGGATTGATGATCCTTTTGGTACCAATTTTGTGGAAGATGATCTTGAGATTCACTGAAAGCTATGTGATTCTGAGGGGTTTTGAGCAAGAATGAGAGTAATTGATAAGGTACTGTTTGGCTCCAAAATGATAGCTGGAACATAGGTTATTTTTTGGATATCACAATTACTATTATAATGCAGTATTTAAGTGATTAAAAATGTTACTTGTATTATATGAATATTTTTTAAAATTGGTGTAATTTCCACAATAATAATCCTTTAAAAGGTAATCCCAATCCGTAAGACACTTCACAAATATCATGAACTTTTCAAACTGGGATGTGCAAAAACATTTTTGCACTGCATCCCATGAAACAAATATTGAAGNTGTGATTCTGAGGGGTTTTGAGCAAGAATGAGAGTAATTGATAAGGTACTGTGTGGTTCCAAAATGATAGCTGGAACATAGGTTATTTTTTGGATATCACAATTACTATTATAATGCAGTATTTAAGTGATTAAAAATGTTACTTGTATTATATGAATATTTTTTAAAATTGGTGTAATTTCCACAATAATAATCCTTTAAAAGGTAATCCCAATCCGTAAGACACTTCACAAATATCATGAACTTTTCAAACTGGGATGTGCAAAAACATTTTTGCACTGCATCCCATGAAACAAATATTGAAGCAGCAACAAAGTGCCCTAACGAATGCTAATGGCATGTTAGGTATATTAACCAAACTAGACTGGACTCATTGGGCAGAAAAATAAGTTAAAAGGCTGTCCACTGTACCACGGTACCAGGCATACCCAAGATGCAAAGAGCACAAAGTCGATTTGGGGTGTACTGACAAGCCACTTGACCAAATGGCAAATAATCAAAGCAGCACCACAAAGCGGCAAATAATTTTCAGGCAAAAACGACATTCAATTCCATGATCACGCGTTCAATTTCAGTGAATGACACACGATAGCTACGAAGAAAAAATAAACACTGACCAGAGAGCAAATACATCAACAACTTCGGCAACATCCAATCTTTCTTCTGGCCGCATATAATTTCTTCGTGGTACAATCCTTATAACCATAAAGACTCCTGTATCCAAGAAAGTGGCCTAGTGCAATTTCCAGGTGAAAAGGGACGTTCAATTCCAAGATTGCACAATCAATATCATCATACAATACCCAATTACTACAAGACACACTAACCACTGATCAGAAGCATGCACATCAACAACTTCGGAAAAATCCAATCTTTCTTCTGGCCATGTAAAATTTCTTCGCAGTGCAATCTTGATGACCATATTGACTCGTATCCTGGAAAGTGGCATAATGCAAAAGCCCTTCTAGCATCAGCTACTTGTTTAGGTTCCTCTGCTCTTTCAATGCCAACACCCAAAAGACAAAAGGACTAAATGCTTCCACACTATCAATTTGAATCAATGACTGAAAGAAGTTTTGAGGAAGCATCGGAGAAGCAATTCAAGAGAAAAATTCTACATAGGAGGAAAATGTAATCGGTCCACCAACGGGCTGAAATCTAAAGCCTTGACAACCAACTAGAATTTGAAGTACAACATTAAAAACGGTAGTTATGAAAAGATCCTTTACCTAGGAATATATTCAAAATTTCTAATTTCAAAAAAAAAAAATAGAGCAAAAAACCTTTGGTCGTAAAGAGCATTTTTCAGAATTCAGTGGATTCCAATTTGCCAATTCTAAAATTTGCTTGAAACAACCTTATAGCTTATTGAATTTCTCAGATGCAACCAAAATATAATTATGTTAAACAAATCAAAAGGAATTTTTTTAATTAATGAAAGAAATGGCAGCAGCAGTAAGATGTCATAAGCTTTGCCAGCACTATCGGAATTCCTGCAATAACAACTGCTAACGAGATCTTACTGCAATGAAAATTAGTCATCAATTATGCCATGAAATACATTTGTCCATGGAATAAACTATTGGAAGACAAATTGAATTGATGTTTCGCTTCAATTACAAATGTAGTTGCATGTGATTTTTGCATTGATAGAAATAAAGCACCATGTGCTTTAACATCAAAATGAAGCTTAAAATTTTGAATATAGCAAAGAGAACAACTAACGTCAAAATCAATAGTAGAAAAGATAGTAGATTAACAACTTTAAAATTCTGGAGAGATGTATGCAGGGATGTATGTGTTGGTTTTTGATCCTTTTAGAAAGATGTTATTGGAACCAAAATACGACATGATTTTAAAAAGCAGTAAACAACAAAAAGTACTTCAATTTAAAGGAAATACATGTTTTAAATTCTAGTCTTTATGAAACAAGAACTTTTGTCTACAACGAAAGACGTCATTGTGCATTAGGTCGCGAACTTCAGAAGTATCACCAGAGTCCAAAACTAAAAGTTTGATGATTTTATGAAGAATCTGCACAATAAATACAAACATAAAAAGACTTGTTCGAGAAAGAAATTTCAGTATAAAATATAAAGTAACCAAAGCTTGATTCATACCTTGGAAATATAATTAGAAAAGTACAATATAAATGATCATATATCCACTTATCCAAGAATTATAGTTACCAAAGAATACAAACTCGGCAAATAGGAGATGAATATTCTTAGAAGCCAATCAAACAATGCAATGTGAAAAAAAGTAATTGGAAAAATAAGGATATTATGAAGGAAAGCTGACCAGAGGCTTCGTGCAGAAGAAATAGAAGCAGATCAGAATGTATATAACCTATAAATGCCTGAGACAAATGTTCTTAGCAATATTGATATAAAGCACCTAAAGTTTAAAACATCATAATTCATGGATTCAAGGCAAGAAATCTCACAGGGGAGAACATCGAGAGATAAGGTAGGGTGGCAATTGGGCCGAACGGCTAGGCCCATGGGCTGCTCGGGCTCGTCAGGACGAGCAGCTCGTGGACCGAGCCCATGAACCACGAGCCTGGACGAGCACAAGCTGAGCCAAGCGGACTTGATTCATGGCTCAGACAAGCGGCTTGTGGACCGAGCCTGGGTAAAATGCGACCAAACGGTCATATGTTTTGAAAATGTGTGTTTTATCATATTTTACTTTTGAAATGTAATCGTTAATTTTTTTTTTTTAAATACCCACCATTTTTCTACAATCCATCTTCTACATTTTACAATCTAAATTTATCATTCCCAATTCCTTGTATTATTCAATTGTTCATAATCATTTCTTACTTCATTCTCAATTCAATTATTCTTCTATCATTTTCTATTTTATATTTATACCTTCCATTTTCTTTTTATACAAATGGATCCCAATAACTATGTTAAGACTATGTTTGATAGTAGTAACTTATCGTTGACACTACAATCCAAGTCTCCTATGCTTGATAATAATTTTACTGGTCTCAATATAATCCCAATTCCTAACCATTTGGGGGTCAAAAATTTGCATGGGAGCAGTAATTCAATTGATTTGGATGGTATACAAAAGGTAAGCGAAAATCCAAACAAAAAGCAAAATGTTGGGAACACTTCAAATTGATTTTCGCGGGTCGTATACCAGATCTAGTGCAAGAATCTAAAGCGGTATGCAAATATTGCCAAACGAAATTGGCATGGAAAAATGGAAAGACTATTTCGAGTTCATCATCAACGTCATCCAAATCAATTGGATGGCTACCATGCAAATCTTCGACCCCCAAATCGTTGATATTGAAACCGATAAAATCATTATCAAACGTAGGAGACTTAAATTGTGGTGTCAATGGTCAGTTACTACCATCAAACATAGCCTCAACATAGCTATTGATCCATTTGTATATCCAAAAAAATTGGAACATATAAATAGAAAATAAAAAATAATAGATAAATGATTGAATTGAGAACGGAGTGAGAAAATATAAGGGATGATTAAGAACGATTAAATAATATTGAATAAATTGAATCATATAAGGAATTGAATTGAGAACGAGAAATTTAGATTTAAAATATAGAAGATAAATTGTAGAGCAATGGCAAGAAAAAAAGGGTTATAATAGTGGGTATTTATAGAGTATCAAAAGAAAAAAATAACTAGATAATTGTTGGGGACCAAACGATCATATTTCCAAAGTAAAATGTCATCAAATTGGCACATTTTTTGGTCAAATTTTAGCCACGGGCCAGAAAAAATGGGTTAAAATGATGGGTATTTAGAGTTTCAAAAAAAAAAAACTAGATTATTGTTGGGGACCCAAGGGTCATATTTCAAAAGTAAAATGTGAGCAAATTGGCACATTTTTTTGGTCAAATTTTAGCCACGAGCCCACAGCCTGGCTCGTGGCTCGGCCCACGAGCCGCTCACTCAGCTCACCTAATTTAGAGCCCATGAGTCAAGTCTCGACGAGCCGCTCAACCCAATTGCCATGCTAGGTAAATGTTATTTAAGTTCGTCATAATTTGTTATTTTCTTAACAATATTCAATTCTTTAAAAAAATTGTACAAGTAACAATTTGTCTGCATACAATTTTAACTCCGCCTACTAAAAAATAAGTAGCATGTCCCAAATCTGAATTAAGCACTTGTGAGCTCAAGGGCTGAGCCGGCTTGGCTCGGCACATTGCCACTCCTAGGATAAGGGCAATTTCTTAATATCACATCAATCTTGCAGTGCAACAGTTTAGAAACAACCAACTGTTTTAGTGATTAAAAATCTGAAAGATCCCACATACCTCAACAGAGAACCCCATGTGAAAGTTGAATATGAGAACGTGACTGAGAATGGTAGCATACATGAGGCAGACCCCACCAGAGCTCCAAAAGAAACAAAGCCAAAGAAACCCAAGAAACATGACACATTAAATCTACAAGGTTAACATTGACTAATCCCACCTATGACCAGTGGTAAAAGGGAGGGTGGTTTAGTTGTACAAGTCAGGCCAAACTCATTGCTCATTTTAAGGTTGATAAATTCTAGTCATTTTCTGTGTATATGCTACTATTATTGTGTCCTATTGCTTGTTAATTCAGTTTACTAGAAGTATAGATCATAATATTGGAGAATAAGAACCATGGTATTCATTAAAATTCGTTTTTCTAACAATCTACAGAACAGTATTTCTAAATCAGCTATAAAGTCTTGTCAGTTTTGTAATTTTTATTGCAGTACTATAAGGATGAAAGAATATTGTATCTTGCCTTTTCTGATGTATGCATACAGCAGTCTTACCATTCCATAACAATTGCCAGACAATAATCGATCTAAGCTTCATTTCTAGAAAGTTGAATCTTTGGCATCACAGCAAAGAATTTATGTTAAAACAATTAATAACAGTAAAATATCCATGTATCTTTAACTTACCTAGTGCCCATGACCCATGTAAGATGCACCACCTTGCTGCGGTCCAGTCCCACCAGGAACATATCCTCCTTGCATCCCAGGCAGACTTCCATACCCGCTAACACCACCTTGAGCTCTATAACCCACATTACTCATCGATGGTGGCACTCCCTGCTGATTCCCACCAGATCCAATCCCTCCAAGCAAATTACCGAAACCTAACCCTGCACCTTGTGAGGCCAATAAAGCAGCCACAGCCTGTCCAAGAGCCGCAGGTGAAACTGAAGGGTTCAACCCCATGGAATGCATGGCTGGACCTGCACTTGGAGCCATCAAGTGCCCCCCTGTGTGCCCCACTCCACTGCTCCCGGCATACTTCCCCTCTTTCGAGCTAGGATGGTAATATCCTTGCTGCCCCTGGTGTTTCTGCTGATGCTGCTGATTGTAGTATCCTTTGGTTGGTTTAGGCCCATCGATCGCCTTCTGGCAATGCAATATGTGCCCTTCGAAATTCTTATGTGGCTCCTCCAATGCTTTCCTCGCACTTTCAAGATTCTTGTAAACAAACAAACAGAATCCTCTTGGTTTCCCTGTCTGTTTATCTAACCCCAATGGCCCTTCCTCAATCTCCCCAAACTTTGAAAAGAACTCCACAAGCTTCTTTATATCAAGCTCTGCTGATACATTGCTCACATATATCTTCCTCTGCGTGTACTCTGACACGGGCGGACCTGAAACAGTTGCTACACTCCAAGGAGCCTGAACAGGACCAGTGGATGCCAACTGACATGAAGCAGTCCGGCTCCCTATAGTCTTCTAGGGCTGTTTCAGAGCCCGGCGAGCCCCATCCCTGTGCTTATACAGAATGAGTCCATATCCCTTCGATTTCCTTGAGATCTTATCACTAACCACCTTACAGTCCTCAATCTCACCATACTTCCCAAAAACAGACTTAATAATCTCGTCATTTGCGTCCCATCCGAGTCCGTGCACGAAAATTTTCCGATGCATTGGGTCCGCATCAGCCAATTTCTGCACATTTTCAAGTATATCAGAGTGTTCAGCTACTGCCTCCTTGATCAAAAGGATTAGCTGGTCTTTAGAAAATGGTTCAAGAAGCTTCTCCAGTGTATCTTCCTCCAATTCCTCTTCCTCGTTCTTATCGGCCCCATTAGCTTGTAAAACGGCGTTGTCAGATGGCTTATTTTCTAAGTCTGCAGAGACAGTGCCGATGTTGGGCTCATCAATTACGTTATCTGTCTCCTCTTCTACTTCTGGTTCTTCCACTGGGTCGGATTGTTCGGTTTCCGACTCCGGCTCGGTTTCGGTGGTTTGGACAGGCTCTGATTGTTGAGAAGCTTCCGACGAGCGGGTTTTCCTCTTTCCGGCCACGGCGATGCGGTCAGAATTAGGCTTTCTTTCAAAATTCTGGTAGTATTTGAGCAAAGTTCGAGAATTGGGGTCGGTGAATGAGGAGAAATTGCAAATTCAGTCCTCAGTTTATAGCCCTTAAAGTATCTGGGTCCTCATTTATATTTTCTTAACTTCTAGATCTCCAAATACGTTGTATGGGTACCTTTGGAGTCTGGACACAATAGTGCATGCATACATAATTATAAATAATTAATAACCTCAACTATATAATAAGACTTTGTCTGGTGCTGATTTCTTACCAATTTTAATCAAAATTATTATCGTTGGTGGGGCCCACACCACTCTTGGCCAGTCAAGTATTGCGGCTGCAGTGGAGCTCAACGGTAGGAAAATGAATTTTTCTCTTCATTTTAATGACCACCAGACTGGCCCTAAATTTGGATAAAGTAATATTTTGATAAATTGATAGGATAATACCTAAATGACTCTCGTTTTTTCTTGAAATTTTTTGTCGGATCTAATCTTTGATTCTTCTTAATCGATCACTGTCCTACTGCATCATCTCGATGTCAAAAAAGGAAGATCCTCATGAATATGCAAGAAAGCAAATAGAAGAAATAAGGGAAGAAAAGATCACTCCTAACAGTCACTCACTTCTGACGGATATTGAATTCTCTTATTAGTTCATTGTATCATTAGTTTAATAATAAATAGTTTTATCATAAATTGATTAATTACAATTACCATTCAACTAGTTATTAAACCAACTCATTTCCTTCTCTATTAAGGGAAAGTATGTTTAATCGTGACCATCCGCCTTATCAAACGATCCAGCCTCTTTATTTGATTCTCATCATTTTCAAAATATATTTTTCTCTTCTTTTCAGAGAGCATGTTTGAGCCTCTTTTTTTTACGTGATTTTGGGCGGGAATACTGTTGCTGCACTATCCTTCTTTAATATAGTAAATAGATATTTTTGAATAGTAGATTGATGGAAAATGTATTGTTGAAAAATAAGAAGTTTTGAATGTGTGTAATATTATTTTATTAAATAATGTGAAACTGAAAAAAAAAAGAAAAATGTATTTTAAAAAGAATGAAGATCAAACAAGGGCTAAATGATTAACTTAATTCTAACTAAAGAAATATATTTAGCCCCTATTTGATGACCATTATTTGGAATTTTCAGTGTTTTGAATAGTGAATTTTTTAAGAATGTATAATTAAAAAGTAGTAAAAAATTTTAGATTTTTGTACAAAATATTTTATTGTATAAATGTATTGTTAAAAATGAGTATGTAGAAAGAAGAGTTCTAAAATGAAAGAGGTCAAACTAGGGCTTAATTTGGTTCCAAATTTTTTTTTATATACTTTGTCAAAAAAGAGTATAGTTTAGGAGGGGGGAAAAAGTAAAAGAATTTTCTAACTGCTTTGTTCGAAATACCAAGAGTATCTTAGGACTCGTTTGATTGTAAGAGTGGAAAATAGGTGGAAAGAAAATGATTTACAGAAAAAATAATTACCTAGAAAATGTTTTGCAGGAATAATGATTTCAAATGTGTTTGATTGGTATAATTTTCCACCCGAAAAATTTTTAAATTTTCTATTCGTTTGACTTTGTTTTACATGGAAAATATCTATTAAAGTGATAATTTTTTCCATAATTGATTATAAAATTTGTTCACATTGCTAAAAAGTTAAAAAAAAAAATTTAAAAAAACAATTATTTCCTAAAAAATAATTTTTTAATCAAAGTTCAGTGTTCATTTGACTTTGTTTTACATGAAAATTATCAATTAAAGTGAATTTTTTTTTTTACCCTTCGTTATGACATTTGTTTCCATTGTAAAAAAAAAATAAAAAATAATAATAATAATAATAAATGGACAACAGCCCATGGAATTTCCCTATTCTCGTGGAATTTGGGAGCATGACCCAACAGTCAAGAAAATGTTTTAGGTGGAAAATTTGGCTCATCAAACAACCCAAAAGCAAGAAAAAGGAATTGATTTTCCAAATTCCAAGGAAAAGTTGACATATCAAACATGGTCTTAGCAATTAATGAAAGGGGAACCTCTAAAATTTTGATTTGAAAAGGGCTATTTGATGCCTTGAGCATCATGTGCATCTATTCAATTTGATGGACTTGTTCAAGTTCTTCAATATCAGTGAGAAGACAAATAAATACACGCTTACTGCTCAAAAAACATTGAAAACTCGTGATTCTAATTGACCCACATATCACATTTATGATTTTGGCAATTAATTAGTTCAAGTATCGCTCAAAATTGCAGGTAAATATACTAAAAAATAAAGTTACATCACACCAAAACAAACTGAATCCGCCAAGGAAAATAACAAAATCATAGCCTCAAAAGGCACTGAAATGGACATGACCTCATATTTTGTATTTGTTTCCATTGTAAAAAAAAAATAAAAAATAATAATAATAATAATAAATGGACAACAGCCCATGGAATTTCCCTATTCTCGTGGAATTTGGGAGCATGACCCAACAGTCAAGAAAATGTTTTAGGTGGAAAATTTGGCTCATCAAACAACCCAAAAGCAAGAAAAAGGAATTGATTTTCCAAATTCCAAGGAAAAGTTGACATATCAAACATAGTCTTAGCAATTAATGAAAGGGGAACCTCTAAAATTTTGATTTGAAAAGGGCTATTTGATGCCTTGAGCATCATGTGCATCTATTCAATTTGATGGACTTGTTCAAGTTCTTCAATATCAGTGAGACGACAAATAAATACACGCTTACTGCTCAAAAAAATCGAAAACTCGTGATTCTAATTGACCCACATGTCACATTTATGATTTTGGCAATTAATTAGTTCAAGTATCGCTCAAAATTGCTGGTAAATATACTAAAAAATAAAGTTACATCACACCAAAACAAACTGAATCCGCCAAGGAAAATAACAAAATCATAGCCTCAAAAGGCACTAAAATGGACATGACCTCATATTTTGTTGAAGGCAACAATGTCGCAGCTTTGCACATATTCATTGATAGGCTCGGTTGTGAGACGCTCCTCAATGAGATCATCAACAGAGACGAGATCGTCAACTATGGTCATCATGATCTGCAGTTTCTTAATTCCATATCCAACCGCAACCAATTTTGCTAAGCAAGATCACAAATTCAAAAATAATCAGCCGCGAGCTATGTGGTAATGTGCAAGATAAACAAAGCCATGGAAATAAATGTTCAAATGGATGAAAGAGTAAACCATACATGCTCCCCAAAATAGGCCAGGGGACTCAACACTACGAACAGCCTCTTCCAGCTTCTTCATGTCTGTCTCATCATCCCAAGGCTTTACATCCAAAAGAACAGATGATTTCCCACCTGGAGACAAATTCCAAATTGCAAAACTCAAAAAATGGATAAAAGTAAATGGATTTAAAGATGGTTAGCCGAGATTCAGTTAAGTATATATCGTAAAACTACAGACAAATAAGCAAATGCTATTCAACAAGTTCAGTTTGGGGGGGGGGGGGGGGGGGGGGGGGGGGGGGGGGGGGGGGGGGGGGGGGGGGGGGGGGGGGGGGGGGGGGGGGGGGGGGGGGGGGGGGGGGGGGGNCTTTACACATATTTTTTGGCCCCGTCATGAAATAATATAATGGCATAATGAACAGCAAAGACTAGATTCTCATTCTATCTTATTAGGGAAGAGTTTATGTTTGAAGTATATAATGCCACTAACTCTCTTTCTTTTTGGAAGATGCCTTGGCAGCTTCCCTCTGTTCTGATGCCTTTTTTTCCTCTTCTGTCTCATCACCGAAGAGATCAAGGTCATCATCGTCATCACCTGCAGACTCCTGGCAAAAAAATTGAAATGGGGTGGTGAACTGATTAATGAAAATCTGTAGAAGGAAACATCAAGCATCAAAATAATGCAAACTCAGAAAAAAGCCTAACATAGTTTCTACCAGCAACATTGGCAAATTTCTAAGATAGGGGACAGTTCAAAAAAGTAGTCTGCTAAATTGTTCAGTACAGATTTCCAGATTGAAGCTAGAAAAAGTAGTCTGCTAAATTGTACAGTACAGATTTCCAGATTGAAGCTAGAATGACCTTTAACTAACAGTATCGCTCATTCCTACCTTTTTTACCCAATTTCCGAAATAATTCGTGAGACAGTCTGCGATTGGACCAACAATCCAGATCAATATCATCCATTAATTTGGTTAACACAGAATATATTTAAACTTAGCTCCTATTCACAAATACAGTTTGTGTTAAACCCACGCATTCCATAAGAATGAGAAGCAAGGCGATAAATAATTAACTAGTCAAGCATATATCTTTGAAAGACTTCCCCAACATAGTATAATGCCAAATTACACCTAAATAACCAAAAACTAGAAAAGCTTCAAGTTGATCAAGCCCAGGCACCAATTTACACACTGCTATCTATGCACTATCCTCCACTTCTATAAATATCTGTTCACCAAATCAATCCACCAAAATATGTGCGTGTGTATGACGTAGTGAACACATCATACAAAGATTTCTAACATGCGGAGAGTCTCCTGGTCCACTCAAATTACCTCTACATTTGTTCACCAATGTTCCCCGTGCACTTCCGTCCATCTCTCTCAATCCAACACTAGGAACCATTATATAAAGCTCCACCACGACGAAATATGCCAATTCTCAACAATGAAATAGAACCCTTTTGTAACATTTAACAAAGGACATTTTGGGAAGGTAAGTTATCCGAGTTAATACATTTAAGTATGAACTTAGGTCGATTAATTTTCAGAGCATTTGGAACATAAAGATACAGCATGTACGGAAGTGCAACTTCTTCCATCATAAATCCACTTCATTAATCTTGATGTCATAAAAAACAAATAATATCCGAGTGCATCAACGAAAGAAGATAACTAACATGTAGCTATCGAAGTTGACCATAAAATGCCACAGCGGGGATAGAAATATCTACCTTGGCTTCCTTAACTGGTGCAGCTTCAGCAGGAGCAGATTGGCCTTCAATTCTCACTCCAACAGCCTTCCCAGGAAAGCTATACAATTATGTTTAAAGCCCCAAATAAGCAAAACAACTATCAGTACAAACTAAAAGTCAGATATATACAAAAATAGAAAACTATAAACAGCCAAAAACAGCTTCTTTTGGGCTTCTTCAGAAGTAAAAGGAGTAATCTACAAAAAAATTGACATTTTTTTAAATGCAGGTCAAACATGCTAAATGTGAATTAAACTTATAAACTTCTTAAATGGCACAAAATAATGATTTATGACTTGTTTCTAAATTAATCAAACTTCAAACTACCAAATGGGAAAAGGACCCCAGATTCGTGCTTTATTGCTTACACTTGAATCGCTCTTGACGGTTCAAAATATCAGTTCATTACTTTTCTCCTAGTTACCTCGTAATTTTAAAGAACAAATAAAACAAAAATGGAAAGTTGAAATTGTAATGGAATACCTGGCTGCAAGCTTCGATGAAACACCTTCATACCACTGACTGGCATTAGGGTATAGATCACCACTTGGCTTCTCCATAACAGCAGCATACACCTTAATATCATCTTTCGTCAATTGATCCCTACAATTCACATAATTAAAAAAATAAAAAATATATATATAATTGTGAAATATCGAATGCTTATATTTACGTTAATCGTCTCTATTGATTAATAAAAACAATAATTAGTTAGCCACTAAAATTCACATAATTAAACAACCAACAATCAAAAAATAATGATGGGATGCGAACCCGGATACGTATGCTTTTCCGGAGAGGAAGTCATTAAGGGCCTTGAGGCCGGAATCTGCGTGCAGATCTGAGAAGGTAACAGCCATTGTTGATTTTAGGGAAAGAAAGAAGGAGGCTGAAAACCTACAGAGAAACTCAGAAGACCGGGAGGAGAGAGAGAGATGTAGTGGATGAAAGAAACCCTACAGAGACGAGGGTATATTCTTTTTTTTTTCTTTCCAAATAATGGTTTTATCGATTTTTATTTTTTCTTTTTTAAAAAGGTGTATTATTTACTTGAGAAGTGCTAGAGGCACATAATTTTTGTACATAGAGTGTTACATAATACTCACATGGGATGGAGCCCACTCACATAATACTCATAGTGGGCTCCACCCCCATGTGAGTATTACGTAACACTCTATGTACAAAAATTATGTACATCTAGAATTATTCTATTTACTTTCTTATATTGAAACTGGCAAGAAAAAAAAATGCATTATTTGCTACACTGAATAATGTTTTCCCTTTTTTTTTTTTTTCTTTTTTGGTGAGTAGGAAGTGTTTTTACAAAAATTATACTCGTAGTTATCAAGCTATGCAAAGTATAACAAGTTGGTTTTAATCAATTTGTGTCGAATATGCAAAAGTGTAGCATTTTAATTTTAGCATTCGATCTATGTTCATTTTAATCAATAAAATATCAATTAACTCTGCATTAATAACTACAATAAAATAAAAGATATATTTGTTATTTGGAGTGATTAAACGTAAAATATTAACATTTTAAATTCGTCAAATCTCGTGGTTCAAACCTGAATTTCTCCAGAGTCAAAATTTCCGCTCCCAATTTTAGATTCTTTGTAGAACCCCAATAGACGAGTCTCGTGTGAGTTCACCATAGAAAATTTAAGCCTAATACAAGTTCATTTTAAGCATCGTTTGATCTATCATATTCTTGATTCTTTTCCATATTCTCTTCCTTTAAAAGGGCTATAAAAAGCATTTTTCAAGCTTCCTCCTTTCATTTACGGATCACACACGTATAAACATATTTTGTCCCTATTTTATTTAAATAAAAAACAGAATTTTAGTAAATTTTAATAAAAAAAATTTAATGAAATATATGGTTAAAAAGTTATATATCTATAAAATATGTGGTTAAAATTCATTATTAGAGCCTGTTTGATGCACATTAAAATGAGAGAATGCATTTTTTTGAAGTGATGTGATGGAGAATATGTAGTTAAAAATGAAGGAAAATTTATTGATATGATGGAAAATATTATTTTATTAAGAATGTGTGGTTGAAAATGAGTAGAAGAATGAGAATGAAAAAAATAATGTGGGTCAAACATGGGCTTGATTTTGATTTAAATTTTAATCAATTTTTTTAACTGAATCAAACAATGGTTTTGCTTCAAAAGAAAAGACTTTTCAAGCACAAGAAGCAGAAAAGTTTTAAAGTTGTCCTCGTCAATAAACAATATTCACTATCCCAGTTCACCTTTCGAAAAAGTATCAAATTAACTTAGGTTAAAGTGCACGTGTATATCCCGTAATTGAATTATGAAGTTGAAGAATCATATGTGAAAATACGTAGTTCAACACAAACTACACCTAGATGGAGTGAATATGTGTAAATACGGAATTAAAAATTTATAATTTATAGCAACAAGTCACTAATTAATTATCTTTAGATGATTAAGCATACAATCTGATTATTCTATATTTGAATACCGCAGAATATAATAACAGTAAATAAAATAATAAATAACGCACGGTACGATCACGGAGAAATCCCAACTGGGTAAAAATTTCGGGCACTTTGTCAGTCAACAATCCACTATAAATAATTTATAACTTACAATCTACCAAACTAGACGATGACACATACTATCTGATCTCCTGACTGCAATTCTAGCAACTCTCCTGGATTCCGTGCTCCTGCACCACTCCCAACTGTTGTTTCCAAAATTCTCCTAGATTGTGTTTTCCTGCAGCAACTCCTAGTTTTGTGAAATCGTTTCTCGTGTGGATTCACGAAGAATACCGCGTTCTTAAATGATTGAAAATCCAGTTACCTTCCCTTTATCGTCATAAACTCTAACGATATGAAGGAAGCAGCAGTTTGGTATTTAGATTATGAATTTGATGTTTTCACTGCCAAAAGCCAAATCAAGATGAAGGTTGAAAGCAATTATGTAAAGGTGATCTCAAAGACATATGTTTCTCTCAATGCTCACAATTCACGTTCCGTGGCGTTTGACTATTTATATGTAGGTTAGGGAATGAATGAGCGGGACAAAAAGTCTTAAAAAAATGAAATAAAAATTTCTTTAATGACATTGTCGCTCGAGCAAAGGTGAGGCGACGGTCTCACGATGAAGTTTTTGTTTCTGACGCTTGAGCCAAACATTGGCGAAAAGCTAGAGAAATTCCGCGCTTTTTCCTTCTTTCCCACTCTCCAACCCTAGTTCTAAAATATCATAAATTTCACTAATTTGCACAATGCTCATTGACTTTTTACAACATATCAAATTTAGTCATTTTTGTTCACAGAATAGTCAATTACATTAAATACCTAACAAATTTTCCATTTGACATTTTGTGACAAAACTACTATCTAAGTCAATGCAGTATAAAATAAATTACAGACTCAAAACAATAGACACAACCAATAACTGTTTTGAACAATTCTGCATTTCATTCTTCAATACATGTTTCCTGAAATAGATAGCTCAACTACCCAATGTAAAATGTATGTGAAACAGTATTAAGTATAAAAACAGTTCAAGTAGTTCACAAAGTAAAAGTGATTCATAATGCATGTGTTCTGTTTCATATCATATGCTAAATTAAGACGTAATATCAATACAACCCAACATACCAAAACGAAACATTGATACTACTATAATATCAAAAAATTAATCTAGCAAAAACTGAAAATATATCGTATAATCAAAATAAAATTTTTTAGATACTTAGATACATCAAATAGTAGATGATGGTGGCATTTCCCCATCCTCGAGCACGAGGACCGTAACTAGTAACGACTCCCCCTTTTGATCACATAGTGCTCGGGCATGTAGTGTCCTCGAGAGTATCGAGGACGACGTTCCTCAGATTGCCCTAATAACTAGTTTGGGAGTCGTCGGGATGTTAGTCCTCGGGATATTTACTTTACCAAATCCAGCATACTCCTTGACCATGTATCGCCCGTCCTCATTCATATAAGATCCCTAATCCTACGCGGACACCCCAACCTAAGAATCCTAGATCACAAAGGAGTCTTATCCTTGGAAACAACTTCGAATAAGGTAAGTCTAAACTCCTACTTACATTTCAATACTTACTCCTAGAAACAAGGAGATGAATCCTACTTAAACTACACTACCTATTATTATAAATATGGCATTCTCATTCATTATCAAGGTACGTTTTACATACATATATTCAGCAATATATTTTCTCAATTTCCTTGTCTGACTTAAACATCGGAGGGGCGACGAGGACACACCTCGACGCCTTCGTTTCAGGTACGGAAGATCTTGTTCGTGCTCAATCTCAGTGATCAAGCTCGAGATTCAACAGGTGACGATTTTTGGTAAGATCAGTAGATAAAAAACATATACATCCTGTTAAACAGTCGGCTTGGGCCGGCTGTTTAGGTCGGAGATTGCCATTTACCGACTGTTTTGGCTAGAGATCGTCATTTTCGGTGATCTCCAGCAATAAAAACCATGTTTTCCCCCCCAAAACATGTCCAAAATCTAGTATATTCAAGAATCTACCTAAATAATCAACAAATAAGCTAAATAAATGTCAAAATTAAGCAACCATCTACACTTTATATGAAAAATACATTTCATAGTCATCAAAAATAACCTTGTTGATATGATGGTGACTGGGTTCTTGTCGGCGCCAACCAGTAGATGTGGTGGTCGGTGTTGGTTTACTATTTCGACTGGATTGATTGTGAGATAATTTTTTCTTTTCTTCTCGAGGGTATTTTTGGCCTTTGACTGTGAGAGTTCACTGGCAGGAGTTTCCTATGTTTTTTTTTTGAGGAGGTCAAAGGCCATTTTTGGAAAGATGGCCGGGTCTACTATTTCCTCGTTTTAAGCTTTTAGTCAATATGCTTGTCAAACGGATTTGGAATGGACAAATAATGACGAGCGAACATGAAAGTTCATCCACAAGGCTGATTCCCGCTGTTAAGATTACTCTATTTTCATTTGCAAATAATTCACCCACTACAAAAATTCTGAATTTCGCCATATATAAATATATAAATATATATACCCACGAGGTGCACACTCCCAATTCATACGGAAACACGAAATCATTTCTTGAATAGCATTTAACCGAGTGAATTTGAGAAGCAAATTTTGAATCAACTGTATTCATCTCCTGTGATTAATATAGAATCACATGGCTTCTTCCAGTGTTATATGCAGTCACCTACTCTACAGTTCCTGCAATGACAAGACCGACTTCAGTTCTTTCAAGAAAGCTAGTTTTTCGATACCTTATTCGTATAAATTGCAAAACCCATCTTGTTTTGAAAGAGGGGTTCGATTTTCAAGAATCACAGCGACGGCTTCTGATTCGAAAACTGGAAGAAAACAAGTAGAGGTATCAATTTTCTGCTATTTTTCGCGGTTAATTATAAGTCAAATTTCTGCGTATAATTTTATATGAAGATTTAACCTTTTGCTGAATTTTTATGTTTTTGATGGGGTGATAGGTAATGTATAATCTTGAGGATGAGTTTCATCAGTTATCTGATGAAGTGGATAAGAATACTGGGACTTTAAATTTGTTCTTAAAATTGAATGTGAAGATTTAAACCGTTTTTCTGTATTTTGATGTTTGTGATTTGTGAAGGGGTTAGGTAGTTTATGATCTCGAAGACGAGTTTGATAAAAATAATTTGTGAATTCAAGGCTATCCATTTTACGTTCAATTTTCTCCCCCATCATTGAATGGAATGAATCTAAGGCCTGTTTGATTGCAACGAATTCCGTGGAAAATGTCACGTCTGAGAAAAACGAATTCCACTTTTGCCCATCAAACGGAGCCAAATTTTAATGAGTCGCGGATG